TTACCAAAAAATAGAAAATCAGCTAGTTTAAGGGGTTAATGGCTAGTTCAAGGCAAAGTAAGGTTTTTAATAAAATAACTAATTGATTCATGGCCAGTTTAAGGGTAAACCAGCCGGTTTCAGCATAAAAATTAAAGAATTAGGGTTTAAAATAGCTTTTTTAACACTGTCATGGCCAATTCATGATGTTTTATAACCAGTTCAGTGGGTTTAAGTCTGGTTCAGGGGGTGTTACGATCGGTTCAGTGTGTTTCATGACTGGTTCAATAGATCTAAGGTCGGTTTAGTGGATTTTATGGATGGTTCAGTGGATTTTAAGGTCAGTTCAATGGGTTTAAGGCTGGTTTAATAGGTTTTATAGTCGGTTCAGTGGCTTTCATGGCCAGTTCAATGGAATTAAGGCCGATTTAGTGAGTTTCATAGCCTGGTTTAGTGAGTTTAAGGTCTGGTTAGTGACGTTATGATTGGTTTATGTCGGTTCGAAATTCTAATAACCGGTTCAAGATTGGTTTAGTATTTTAATGGTTGGTTTAAAGGATAATTAGACTGATTTATTCTTGTATGAGCTGGTTCAAGACTTTAGTACATAGGATGTGGTTTATTTGATTGGTTCAAGACTTTAAAATTTTTGATATGGGTTTCGAACACGAGAACCTAAGTGGGCCGTATTTATAACACTTAGAATTCGTGATTCTTCAGTTATGTGAATAGTAATACGTATTTATATGATTTGTTATTTTCCATATCTACTAAATATTGAGTTTTTACATGAATTGTTTTACAAATTTAGCTATTTTGAAACTCAATTTAAACATGCTATAAAAGCTTACAAGAGATGTATATGTCATTTTCTGATTTGTTTGGAATTTGCCTAAACTATTGATTTTGATTACTGATATGTTTGAAACATTGGAATCCTATAAATTGTTTTTTGTTAAACGTTGAAAAAAATGGTTTTAAGAGAGTATCGAATTGTTAGAACACTGTAACTAACGGCAGTAGATGGTAAATTGAGTGCACTCTGTACAAGATCTCCATCTATCAAGGGGTGATGCTAGACTCTTGTGTTGCACTGACATGAGAGATTTGTACACGTATATGAGTATATGTGTTTATGGGTATATGAGAATGCCATATGCTGATTTCTATTATCAGCTATGGATATGTGAATATGAGCATAAGGGGATGCCACCTTTTTTTATGTGTACTGACATAATAAGGGGTCGCCGTTCTATTTTATGTGTACCGGCGATTAAAAGTTGTCATTCTGTTATTTGTATACTGGTAGACTAAGAGGTCGTCATTCTGTTATATGTGTATCAGCAAACCATGAGGTCGCCGTTCTGATTTATGTTCAATTCTTTATTACAAACTTCCTAAGTGATATAAGTTGAAAAATTCTATTTTATCATGAAAGTATCTGATATATGTCTCTTATTTGTACAAATATGTGTTACTATTCACTGAGTTGATAAATTTATCCCTTTATTTTTCAGGCTTAAGTTTTGTATTCTCGACAGATCCTGCTGCGTAAGAGGAGTCTGTAGATTCCAATCCTTTGGTTCCAGACCGAAACAATTAGTCCTTGGTTCCCTTTTTGACTTGGTGTAACTTTTCCGTTCTTAGTAGTTTTACAATCATAGACAGAGTTTCAAATATTGATAAGTGTATTGAATTTTTGAAAATTTATATCAGACTTGGGTACTGTATTAAGTTAAGTTTTATTTTGTTATGTTATCGTTCTGAGCATGAGAGACTTGCGAGGTTTGAATTATCCTAATCCTAGTGCTGATCTCGAATCCGACTTTCGGATCGTGACAATAATTATACAAATAAGTGAAAAAAATGAAATTCATATTTCATCATTTAGTGATGGAATTTAAATTTTCTTATTTGATACAATTCTGATGTTTCTAAAAAAATAAAAAAAAATTATTTTAAAGTTCCCATCAAATATATTTTTAAAAATATTTATTTTTACTTTTTTAATAAAATATCATCATAATCATACACCACCTATCAGTTTTCAGTCAACCATTTGCGTGTTTTCCAACTAATGTATCAGATTTCGACTATTGCAGCAATTTCCACCTTGAATTTTAAGAAACGTTTTGGCTAACTTACCATTAAATTTTTGTTAATCACCAGTTTAAGAATTTTCAAGCTTGCCATCTCTTTCAATCATCGTTATCTTATTTAATTAACGTAAATGTGACCTCATGCGTTTGTAATTCAAAATTTTGTATTATTACTACTAAAAACGGAATGATTAAATAGAAAATGTCAAAAAAATTAAAATAATTCAAGCTTTTATATTTTTTAAATTTATTAACTCCCTTTTTTCAAAGAATTAAATAAAATAAATTTCTTATTATTATTTTATTTAAATAATTTAACGTACGTTCAAAAAAATTCGGACCAAGTTAAAATGGAATTATTAATTAAACAAAAAATGCATAAACATGCAGCAGACGTCACTCCTACGCAACAGGTGCAGATGGTTACGTGGGTGACTGACTAATTGTCTCTCATGCAAATTCCTTGAATTCCCGGCAAATCGACTTCATAACAATTTTTATTTTTATTTAAATTTTTAATTTTTTAAAAAATTATTTTTATTTTTTTTATAAATTTAGATGAAACGTTGCCGGTCAATTTTAGCCGATCCAAACCATTTCAAACAAAAGCAACAACAGTTTTAATTTGATTTTATTAAATATTTGATTTGGTTAAAAAAATAATCTAAATTTTTTATTTGATTTAGTCTAAAATTCATCCTAAACTATTGTTAATAAAATTCTCCGTAAATTATACACACACATACATAGTTACATATATAAATATAATATATGTAAGTATATATAAATTTTTATTTATATATAGAGGAATGATTAATTAACACCTAATGTAAGTTCAAGATACTTACACCACATCTTACACTGTTGATTTAATCAAAATCAACGGATGTGATTTATTTCCAATAACTAATTTACAGTTATCTTTCTTTAATAGATTTTATCTGTTGATTTTGACTAATCATAAGGTGTAAAATATGGTATAAGTGTTTGAACTTATACTAAATATTAATTAATCATTCCTCTTATATGTAAATATGTATATATGTGCACATATTTTTACAAACATATTTTTTTTATTTATATTAATAATATTTATATACACACATATATATATACATATAAATGATTATATATGTATAAATATGTTATATGCGTGTACACACACACACACACATATATAATAAATATTTATTTAATAATTATTAAATAATAATAAATTAAAACTAAATCAAACTCAATTAAAATTTTAAATTTAATTTGATTTACAATTAAATTAGTTTATTTTAATTTTAAAAAATAAAAAAATTCAACCCTAATTATTAAAAATTCAAACCAAATTTTGACTTCCACACCCCTTGGAGGGGCCGTAGTGAGGCACCTGTTAATGGAAAGCTAAGAGCTCGGTCAAACCAGGAAGCCATGGCCCCTGATTATTTCATTGCTCGAATGCTTTTACTTCATTAAGAGGTTGCACGATAAAAAGAAAGTAATTTTAAAAAAAGCTAAAAAAGTAAATTATACTGTTTAATTAATAAGATGATAAAATTTAAATTATAAAATTTTTTAAAAATTTATTTTATTTTATAATTGTCTCGAATAACTCAAACAATTTTTAACAAATTGAGTTTAAATTTTTTATCTTCTCTATTTAAAAAATAATTGATGTTAGTATCTTTTTAGATTTATTTAAATAACACTTAACTTTATTTTTTTATATATTAAAATAATTTTTTTAGGAATGCTAAAAAAATTAATTTTTCTAAGATAATAGTAAATCAAATTTTCAATAAGTTAGGATTTTATTTTTTATATTTTTTTATGTTAAATCAAGTACTATAAAAGTTTAAAAATCTAAAATTTAAAAAAAGAACTTTTTTTATGAATAAAGTAACTTGTTAATATTTTCTAACAACAATGACTAATTTAATTTTATATGATAAAAATTCTATTTTATTTCTGTAAAATTTGTTTATATAATATTATAATAAAAATTTAAATTTTTATGTTTTAAATTAATAGTACTTAGCTATTATTGGACCGAAATTAACAAAAATATTAATCAATTCATGTAAAAGAAAGAATATTATTTGAGAATAAAAATATTTTTTTAAATAAATAGGAAGAGATGAGATTATTTTTATTCTTATTTAAATTAAATCCCTAAAAGAAGGTTTAGTCAAACCCTTATTTAAATCAAACTCCTAAAGAAGGTTTAGTCAAACTGTTAGGTTGGCAAATCGAATTGAGAGTTTGGGGCCGGATTTGCCTTTGCCTAAATCGGCCTACAAACCCTAACTACACACCCATTAATTATACTTGTGAGGAAACAAAGAAGGGAATTAATATTGGTGGGGCTCCGGACGAACTTGTGTCGACCAACAAGCATCTCTCAACCAAGAGGACGATCAGAGGGGAAGGAATTGACAAAGGACTTCTAATCCTCGGCTCTGTTAATTGGATTGAATTCAAAACCCGAAGTACTTTGTCCTTGTCGGACGAGTATGGCCAACTGTGGGCGCCTACACTGGGTTGGACCCGTGAGATGAGTGGAGGTGGGGACCAGGCTCTCACCGGATTCAGGGAGGGAGTCATTTGACTAAGCGGGCATCTCTAGATTTGGCAACTACTTTTTATCGGTTATCAATTAACTAGTCTAACACGGCCCTATCCACATGCACATCTTCTCTAGCTATTTATACTAACATCGGATTACATTGAGTATCTCACAGTAACAGAAAGCAATAGAATTTTCACGAAAAATCCAGATGTAGATTCGTCTAAATCTATGAAATATTTTATTTTTATGAAAGTTCATGGAACAAGTCCTGCAGTGCTCAGGACAAACGGATACAACATGATACATAAACAAACAAAAAAAAAGGCAAAAACAAAAACAGAAGTAAAGATAATCGTATATAAGGATCAAGATTTGATGCGGAGTAGCTCGATGGCGCCAGTGGGTGATTTGGTGGTGATACGAAGCATCCTGTAATCCTCAAAGTTCACGGGATTGAACAAGCGAGGGTGTTCATCATCCACCAGCTCTTCCGGAGCTCCCAATGCTCCCTTCTTTGGTCCCAACACAAACAGAGCGATCGACACCCGCACATTGCCTTCGTAGCACTGCACTCTGTGCTTCACACTCAACAGCCTTCCGTTGCTCCAGATCTGCCATTCATGCATCAATACTATAAGATATTTTAAAAACTCAGCTTTTTTCAGCCATATTGTTACGTAAGTTTTAATTAATTTATTTATTCATTTTTATTTACCGTAGCAAGGTCTCCGAGATTGACGACGAGGGAACCGGGCATGGGATCGACGGGCGTATTCACGGTCTCCCTGTGCACTGCCTCGAGGCCAACGATGGCTTCGTCGTCCTGCAAAATGGTGAGAAATCCGGGGTCCGTGTGCAATACAGCACCGGTTGAGCCGACAAATTCAGGTGTGTAGTTGTACTTGTTCATCCTCAGTTGACATGGCCACCCCTCAAATAAATCCCCGGCTAGCCCTAACCCTTCAAGCAAAATCCTTCCCATGTCCATTCCAAGCTTATGTATAGCAAAGGCATATTTCTTAACAACGTCCCTGCAAAAATTATTTATTTAAATCAGTTCATAAATATTTATTTGATTATATCAACTTCAATGCATTATATTTATTACTAAAACAAACGCATCCCCGGGGGAATAACTACCTTTGGTCAGGAGAGGCATTAAAGCTGGTCAAAGAAGTTGTCAAGGCACCTGGGGCAGCCATGTCATAGCAGCCAATACCCTCAAAGACGGAGCTAGCCTTGTGCCGCGAAGTGTACCCCTTGCCCTCCACCGGATTATAGTTCCGGAGCTTGATCTCCTCCGGCAAGTCGAGGAGCGACCGGGAAGCCTTCTTCATCTCCATCATCAACTCCAAGGGAATACCATGGTTGATAATCCTAAAACATCCCCAGTCGCTGCATGCCTCCATTAACCTCCCTTCTCTGCGGGAAAGTTCTGCATGTCGATCACTGGAATACAGAACCCGCCATTCTTCCTTTCCTAGTAAACTTTCTCTTTTACGTACTCCTTTATGTTCTATGTTTTGTTGGTGTGTTCTTTTGCATCCATGAATGCCTTTTATACTACTTTCGGTTCACACAGCGAGCATCCCAAGGTTGAAAATTTTACCTCCCCTGCTTTGGTTATTATTTTCGTCAACGGAATGTGATATGCATTTTTAGTCCCAAAGGATTATGATACCCATTAAATTCCTACGGGATGTTGATTTAGATTAGACTATAGTTGTTTGATCAATTTTTGTATTTGTTAATATTAGTAAATCTTAAATGGTCTGATTTCTTTTTATGAATTCTATTATATATTTTTAAGTAATTTATAAAAATACATCAAATTTCATATAATTCTCAGATATTTTAAAATATATATACATATAGATTGCTGAGAAGGACAAACCATTAAAGTTAATTTCTTGGTTGGTACATCTTGTTCCCTTTTCTCTTAGAGGAAGAATTGTCCAATTAAAAATTATAAAAGTAGTCGTTGTACCAGCTTCTTTCCCTTCTCTTTTCCAGAGACGAATGGTCCGATTAGGTATTACTATTATTAAAGAATTCATTGGTTTTGTTTGCATCAGAGGCACCACGAAAAACCTCGCCTCAGTCACAATTTCAAACTTTCAGAGCCGAGAAATTTAACGGGATATAATTACAATAAAGTACGGTAAACTATCATAGAGTTATAAATAGATTAGATTTTAATTTTAATTTTATCTAAATTTAATTTAAAATATAATATTTAAATTTGATTAAAATATTTAAATAATTATATCTCCTTATAAATATTTAAAATTTGAGAACCGGATATAGAATTAATTAATACAATATGTTAAAAATTTTAATCCAAAATTTAATAATATTTTTAATTAAATTAATAATATCATGTATAATATTAATAAATTCAAAATTGTAGACACTAAATTGAGAAAATTAAAAAATTTAAGAATTAATATAATCGATAAAATAAAGTTGAGAGATTTAAGTGTAAAAAAATATTACTTTCTTATTTATTAAATTTTGTATTATTCATCAAATTTGAATGTCTTAATAAATATAAATTTTATAAAATTTCAGATTGGATTTGAATATAAGAATAACTAATAAAACTTGGATTCAAATTTGAATTCAAATTTATCTCATTTAATCTAAATCCGATTCATCAACTACTTTACATTCTTGTAATACTCCGGTTGCCATTCGATGCCATGGAGCCACGAGTTTCACATTTTTCATTTTTTGGAATGTAACTTCGCGTCTCACCTTGGGAAAACCTAGAAGTTTATATTCCAGAAGGCGTGTTTTTGTGGAAATATATATAAAAGAATATTTGTGTAATTTTGGCAATATGTTTTCTTTTCTTTTTCTAATCTTTGGATTCGATGAAAAGAGACGAAAGGGTTGATGATATTGACAGTAAATATAGAGAATTAGCAACCGCCAAATGATTCGATAAGAACGGTTGGGATGGCAAAGAGTTCCGAGCAAATCAAGAAATTGATGGTTAATGGGCATGGTACTGACTCTTTTGGCCCGCAGGAGATGGTTGGAAGCTCGCTGGCAGTAGCCGTCGCTGTCATGCACAGTAATCATAACCAGAACTCGGGTTTGTGAAATTGTCGAATGTGGAATGGATTAAACTTAACACAAATAATACAATCAATTTCAAGAATAGTAAAGGAAGGTGTGAGTGCCTTCTTAGATAGGGATGGTGTTTAGATTAAAGGCTTTTTAAATTCATAAGTATCTATCTCTGATGCAAACCTAGCCAAGATTTGGGATGCGTAGGAGAGCTTGCAAATGACTTGGCACATGAATTTTAAGAAAATTATTCTAGAAGTAGGAGAGCTTGCAAATGACTTAGAACATGAATTTTAAGAAAATTATTCTAGAAATTGGCTTAAAATTCTTGCTGAGATAATCAAATAAGAAGTTTAAACAATGTTGCTTGAATTTTAAGAAAATTATTCTAGAAGTTGGCTTAAAATTCTTGTTGAGATAATCAAATAAAGAAGTTTAAACAATGTTGCTTATACTCTTCTGATAACTAAAATTAGATCATTTTTACAGCAAGTAAAAATAAACCTCATTTTCAAAGAGTTGAATGGATGCATTAATTTTTGACTAAATTAAGATTATCTCAAAAGTTATATAAAAAGAACAGGCCACCCCAAGACAGGTTAAAAAAATTTTTCACTACAATTTGTTGTAAGTTCATGCTTCTCAAGGTCCAGCTATTTAATTTTATTATTCTGGGGAGTCAGTCCTTGACGTGACAAAAAGGAAAAAGGAAATTACCGGGACCTTCTAGATAAGTAATATCTTATGTGGCAAGTAAATTTAAGTCCAATACCCATCCCCTTATGGAATTCTGAAATCAACTTCCCGAAGTTTAATTTTTTTTCAAAATTTTCCCAAATTTTATTAAATATTTCTTAAAACATTTTTATTTCATGTATACAACTAGCGGTAAACTATCCATGCAAATGCACGGATGCATTATATATTTCATGAATGGCATTATTATAATTTATTATAACGTGTACATATTTTGACAGATTAAAAATAATAAGTTAATATTTTCTCAATGCAAATTTCATAATCAAGTAGACTTATTAAATTACTTATTTCTAATTCGTTATATTTACTAATAATTATTATTTTAATTCTTGATAATACTGGCTTTTTAACTTTGAAAAATAAAAGATTCTTTTGGTTGAAAAACTAAAAGATGATTAACAATTTATTTTTAATAATTAAACTTAAATTAATGTCACAAAATACATAAGTTAAATTTAAATTGTTTAACAATAAACTTCAAAAATTTTATATATTATATAATCTTATAATTAAATATTAATATAAAACAGAATATTTTTATCTTTTTAATCGAGCACATGTGAAAACATTAATAAAAATTGCGGGGTGGTCGAGAGAGGGAAAAAAAAAACTCTGATTACGTAATCAGGTGACATTTGGTCAGGAATGGCACGGGGGCCCAGTGGCATGTTGTCACGTGTTCATTTTGATTGGTTTCAACTCTGCTCTCAGAATGAAACGCAGAACAGAAAGGCGTCACGTTTTTATTTTTATTTTCCAAATTTATTTTGTTTATTTTTTCTTAATATTTTCGATTTTTTCGTTTTAATATATTAAGATAGAAAAGAACTAAAACGTTAAGTTGATGTTTGGTTTGCGAAAATGTTCCCTATTTTCAAGTTTTATTTATATTTGTTGAATAGAATTTTCATTTTTCAGAATTTTAAATTTCAAAAAATGCGTTTGGTTTGTTTTATTATTTCCTGTTTTCAAAAAATATAAATAATAAAAATATGTTTAATTTACCTATTTTTAATTAATTAAGATACTAAATCAATTGAATTAAATCAAATTTTTTAAATTTTTTATAAGGATTTAAGTGAAAAAATCAAAATTCTAAAATTGCAATCAAGATTCGAAAAGTTAAAGAATCAAATTGGAGAATGAGGAAGAGATTAGGGACTAAAAAATACAAATAAGCAAAAAGAGTCATCCCCCTTCTCTAGCAAGTCACGATAAGGCCTGTTAGACTTAATCGTGACCTGACTTCAAAAGTTGTTCAATTGCCAATTTTTTAAAGAAATTTTCACTAGAATTTTATATCTTATATTCTAAAGAACAAAAACCCTAAAAACAAATGATATGCAAAACGCTGAAATTTCAAAAATTCAAAGAAGAAACATTGAAAAATTTTGGCAATTTTTGATCAGTTTAGGTGTTTTTTTTCAATTAGTGATTTGTGGTTGCCAATCGCTAATTCACGACAGATCTATCAACTCTACGACGACTCAATGGACAATGAACAACACTCGGGACTCCCTCTGTGAACCAAGCTTGACATCGACTCAACAAACAGAGCACTACGAACGAGCCCATTCACAGTCTCTCCCTCTAGGCTCGACACTCTAGTAGATGAGTTTCGTCTATTTGCCTTTTGGAGTAGCAACAGTAGCAAGTAAATAAGAGATATAAAAAAAACATTGAAAATGACTATATTTACATGCCTACCACTGCATTTTCAATTTGGATATTGGATAGAAAATACTAAAAGCAACTTTTTGTTGTTTTCAGTTTTTAGCTTAATTTAAAAAACGTTTTCAGAAAATGAAAAGAGAAAACAACCAACCAAACATGTTTTTAGCACTGTTTTTGTTTTCAATGAAAATAAAAAACAAAAAATGTTACGACCTGGAAATTGGATTCGCGCTCGGCCCTAAGATTAGAATAAATTCTAACCTCACAAACTTAACAAATAACTCAAAACTAACTAAATCAAAATCTTATATAAAATCAAAAATAAAATTGAATCTAAATCTCAACTAAACTGTCAATACATGAGCAAAAAACTTGTTTACAGTCAAATCGAACTAACTAAAGAACTCAATAATACAAAAATCTAAGAAAAAACTGAAATAATTAATTTCTTTGATCAAGAACAAAAACAGTAGAAAACAATTTCTCTCAAACAACAGGATCCGACGGAATATCGAACTCTAAATCTAAAGCATAATAAGGGGTGAGTTGACAGACTCCGTGAATAATAACATGTATTTATGAGAATAAAGAATAAGTATAATAGATATAACAAAAAACTTTATAATTAAACAAAAATTTACAATTATCAGAGTTTTTAGGGATGTTCGATTTAGAATAGAACAAAAATCAAGAGACGACCTCATGGTCAATCAATGACAAAAATCAGAAGATGACATTTTAATGTGCCAATATACTGATATACAAGTCTCTCATGTCAGATCTATACAAGAGTCTAGCACCATCTTATTAGATAGGGATACGGTACAGAGTACATTTAGTCTAACGTCTACTATCGTTAGTTACAATATTCTAAAATTCGAAACTCCCTTAAAACAGTCTT